GGCTGCCTTCGCCCCTGGAACTGGAGCCGGTGCAAGCATGCACACAGGCCCTCATGCTGCGCCAGCAGCAGCTCCGTTGCAGGTGCTGCTTTCAGCCTGAGCTGGCCCTGGGAGCTCGATAGTCAGAACCCAGGAGCCCTTCTTGTTGCAAAGTGGCCTCTATAAAGCCTAAAAATTTATGTGCTGGACTCTGTTCCCTTGCTTACCAAGCCATTCAGCTTTGTGGTTTGTTTGCTGTTGGTCTTCTTGGGTGTGATCCTGCAGGCTGTGCCGGTGAAAAGGGCCGTGGCAGGGGATAACGTGTCAGCGGGTGCTCATCAAATGTGCCTTTAAATGTTAGGATACTCCCGGGCATAGTTTTGGCTCTCTCCCACAAACACCCAGTTAGAGGTGAAGTTCACTCACTGAACCAAAATAAAATCAATCTCTTTGGGAAGGTGGAGCGGTATCACAAATGGCACCATTCCCGGTAGGAATAGCGGCAGGTGGTGGTAGTACCCAAGGTTTTTCGTTTAATCTCAAGTTTTTCCTCCCATCAAGTGTCCTGTCAAATTCAGACTAGCTTCAGAAAAGCAGCAAGCACGTCTAGGGACTGGCCTCGCTTGGTTGACAGTTTCTGTGGGTTCAGTTAAATTGTCTTACTTTTTTGACCAAGAGTTCCTGATTTTCAGATTTATTAAGTCTAGAGCTGGCATTAATGAACTTTTGCTTGCTTTTTATTTTCTGTAGAAAGCTGTCTCTTTTGCGGATGAAGATGAAGCCCACGCTGCCAACGACTGTCTCCTGGTTTATTCCCAGGGAGAGTCAGGCTCCCCCCACGGCTCCATCGGCTGCTGCAGCTTTATTGAGGGTGACCTTGATGACCATTTCCTTGATGATTTGGGAGACAAATTTAAGACTCTAGCAGAGATATGCATAGGCAGACACATCAACATGAAAGAGGGTAGCTCCAGGAACGAATCAGGTTTCGGTCTGAGTGACGCCAAGTCGCGGTTCTTAGATCAGCAGAACGCTCCCAGCTCCCAACAAGCCTTTGCCTCAGGCACCCGCTTCCAGCCCGCCCCACCAGTGGGTGGTGGCGCAGGAGAAGACACCCTGTCCAAGGAGGTGGTCACGGAAACAACCTTTGCATCCCGCTCCGGGCAGCTCGACGCCCGGCCCCTCCCCATGGCCCACACGGAGACCGATTTCACCGTGACGGAAACGTCCTACTCCGTGGGGGCTCCTGCCCGCTCGGCCGCCGCCTTCCCAGACCCCCAGTTTAAGGAGAACATAGTGGTGACAGAGAGAGTGCTGGCCCCCGCGTCCACCTTGCAGCGGCTGGTGGAAATCCCCGATTTGCCGCGTGGGAGTAACGTGGTGGTGACGGAGAGGATGGTGAAGTCGGAGGGTGCGGGGCCAGGAGCCCTGATGGTTCAGGATCTTCCCGACTCCCCGTACGTCGTGGTGAGGGAGCGGGAGAGGGTGCTGGTGCCCGAGGGCTCGCTCGGCTTCCCCGCTTCGGCAGAGGGGGTGAACGAAAGGGTGGTGACGGCCTCGGGGATGCTGAGCAGAGCCGAACAGGCGGCGGGTACCGGCCCGGCAAGGCAAGAGCACGTCTTGATCACAGACTCCCTGCTCAACCCGGCGGGCTCCGACGCGGAAGGGCCACCTCCTGCCAGCGCCACGCTGAGCAAGTCTTCCCGGGTCACCACGTACAGCACGGTGCAGTACACTCGCTCATAGCCTGGCCCCTTGCCGGGGTGGGGGCGCGCGGCACCCTTGTAGCCACGTGGGCCTCGCCTCGGGGCTTTCCTTGAGACCTGAATTTGCTGGAGCTTTCAGGCTGATGTGGACTCGCTTGTGGTAGTTTATATATAAATAAGGATTGTGCCCGGGAAGCTAGTAAGGAAATCTGCTGTTGTTGTTCTGTAACGTTGACAGTGACGCTTTGGAAGTGGAAGGCTGTGGGAAATACATTTATTTTTTCCTTGTTTGCTGGTTTTGTAAGTGCTTTTTGTTATTCCGTTAGTGTAATAATACCACATAACCCCAGCTTCATAATTATGGGAAAGCAGGAAAAAAGAAGTCTAAAATTCAGTGGTGGATAGCAGCCTGCAAAGCCCAAGTTAGGTTTCTGAGCTGCTGTCTGCTGGGTCTGCTGGAGTTAGGGCATCGGTTTGTCATCGCACGTTGGCTGTCGGTTCCCTCGTGGGCCAGGGCAGCTCCTCCTGAGCTGCAGATCTCTGCACCTTGCTGAATTGCTACGAATTCTCTCCTTCCTGAGAAGCCCAGGCCACCAGAGCCAGAGTCCTCAGGGCAGTGGTGATGTCCTGGAGGGATGTCACAACTTCAGGTTATCAGCGGTCGTCCCTTACGCAATCGGTACTTGCGTATTAGCGCAGGGGTTAAAGGGAGCAGGTAGCAAAAAAAGCAGAGAACTGCAGTTTTTTGGGTACCTCGATGTAAAAATTCCATTACTTGGTGTGGGTCTCGGCTGACATGGACACATAAGCATTTGCATCGTATCCATTTTTCACTGGCTCCTAGTTGGTCCTTTAATAACGCGTGAGGAGCAGCCAAAACTTGCCTTAGCTTTAGAGCCAGAGATTCAGTTCAGTGGCTTCGCTAGCGGAGTCTGTGACCCTTAGACGTCTATAAGATCTGATTTACAAGTGCAATTAACGAAGTGATTTTAATTCTGTGAACTCACAGATCCAAGCGCAGAAATGCAGCCTGCTGTGGGTGTCTGTGAGGTTCTGCTGGCTCCAGTACCAGAGCTTGGGTGGCCTGTGGAGTGCTGTACAATGGCAGCTTTCCTTAGCTCTGGCAAGAGGAGAGCAAGCTCCCTTTAAGTCTGCAACACTCCAGATTACTTCTCTTTCTATGAAATTTAGGTGGCAGAAGCAGAAGGCAGTACTGCACTGTTTGGCACTATGTATATAAGCACGTGTAAATATTTGTATGCAGTTTGAAACGGTTTAGAGTGAATTTTATAAAGGAAAGACTGTCATACGCTCCTCCTGTTTCCTCAGAGGAGAAGTGTTTTAGATTAGGTGTTGGTACACTGTTTGTCTCACACCTGTAAGATCAGCGAGCCCGTGCGCCTGCAGAGCTCTTTCTGCTCGTCTCCATCTCTCCTGGAGTTCTCCTGCAGCTGCAGGGTTACGTTTTCTACTCACACGTTTTGCCTTTGACTAGAAATGCTCTCAGTACATTTGATTTTACTGATAAGGATGTAAAAGTGCATTCAAAAACATAAAAAGTAGGAACCGTGGCTATGTTCAACAGGCAGCTTGACAGGTGAGCCTTTACATTAAGTGGAGGAGTACTTCCAAGCAAATCAAACTTCTCACTTGCTTGGACTTCTCTTAAACTTCATTTTTAAAGTACGTGTATTTGCTTTTAAGCAAGCATGCAGTTTTAGGTGGTCACCGCTTTTCCCTGCAGTTAGAGGGAGTGAACTTATTTCTGACTTTTTAATAAGAGTATTTCTGTGGTTTTATGCAATCTTAAAACATGCTACTCTACTGTATTTTTATTATTATTATTATTCATTCAGTTTTAAGACAGCTACACTGGCGAAAACACAGACTTTCCTGCTCCAAATAAAAAGTTTAAAGATAGAATGAGGATTGGGATTTCCCAAACAGCCTGAAGGAATATCTGAAAGATGCAGATGTAAATAAAGTTGCTCTCCTGCTAACCTACAGATTCTGAAAAAAAAAATGTGAATTCTGCCTGCTGGTTAAGTGCGCTAAATTCTGTAAGAACCTGATGTCAGACAACAGCATCCTGTCTGCAAATTCACTGGGCTTTGAGTCAAACTCTTCCAATCAGTTTGTACTTCCAAACAGCGTGAAATAAAATATTGTCTTAGTTTTACGGCTGTTAAAACATAGAGTTGTTACCATCCAGAAGAAGCTGTCAGAGGCAGGATTGTGTCACAGAAATCCCAACTTCCCTGTGTGTTGTTTATAGCTGAACATTTATCACGGAGGTGCTAGTGCTGTGTTTGACTGGAGCCGGTACGAGTGGATCTTCATGATTTGGGTTAGCCTTGCCCCAGGACTTCAGATGCTATCAGCGTGTGCTGATGCTGGCAAACATCCATCAGACTGAGTCAGTCACTTCTAAGGGGGCTGTGTTTTGTAAACGATGGTGGGAGGAATGCACAGACCCAAACTAATGGAAGCGCCTGGTTAGCGTCTGACCACGAGATAACCCTGAGCGCAGGACTAGCCCTAGGCCCTTATCTCTGCAAGAGATGTGCCTCATTCTGACTTCAAAAGTAAAAACGAGCCTGTAATTTTCTTAACTGAGAAGGACAGAGCCCGGTCGTGCTGAAACACCAGCGTGGCAGGGACTGACTCCACGCTGCTCTTCCGTGATTCATGTTTCCTGCGAATCCTCGCTCGGTACATCAGGCTCCACCAGTATGAACCAGCCTGCTGCAGCACGGACGTGGCTGTCCCCAGTGCTCCCCCCAAAAAGTATTGCCTTTGTTGTGCCTCGGCACACGCTTGGAGCCAGGCTAGACTTGGCAAGGCGGGATGATCTCTTCCAGGCTCCATTCTTTCCTGGGCGTTTGACCATTGTCCGCCATCAAAGGCTTGAAGCTTGTCAGGGTTATCAGCAGTAAATCAGTTTTTAAAAAGTTAAATAAATCGACTGCTCTCGATGGTGAGTGTTTATGGCCTTGAGGCATCCCAAAAATGCATCACTCCCTCTGCTTGTGCTGTAGTGGAGCCGGTGGCTCTGGCTGTCTCCTCTGCTGGCCCCTTCTCCCTCCTGGTGGCCTTTGAGCTCCCCCGTGAGCTCAAAACACCCTGACAACCATCTGCCTTTCCTGCCTTGTGGGTAGGAAAGTGGGTCTCTGCCTGCTACCAGGGCGGCCCTTCGAGCGAACCAACCTGGGTGAAAATCAAGAGCAAGAGGGAGGAAAAAAAAAACAACCTCCTTTTGGGTGTTGAGGACACGAGGCCGGGCTGAACAGGGGCTCAGAGTGCCAGTGGGGGGTGTTTTTTGAGCCCATCTTGTAGCACAGGAGCTGGGAAGCTCAGCCCCGGGGTGCCTGAGGTCCCGTGGGTGCCCAGCGCACCCCGAGCTGCAGGGCAGGCCCTGACGGGGCCTGTTGTTGTTGGCCCGACGGGCAAAATGGCTCCTGTCCGCCTGGGCCTGCGTCCGCTTCGGCCCAGG